CCACTCTGAAGCCAGAAGCCAGGAGCCAGGAGCTTCTTCTTGGTTTCAAACACAGATGCAGGAGCCCAAGCCCACTTGGGCCATCTTACACTGCTTTTGCAGGTCATAGCAGAGAGCTGGATCAGAAGAGGAGCAGCTGGGACTTGAACCAGCATCTGTATGTGGTGCCACCCCAGCAGGTTGTAGCTTTACCCGCTATACCACAGCACCGGCCCCTGAACTAAATCAGTTTGTTCACTGTCCTGGACTCTCTGCATTTCCAGCTGGTTTTAGAATATTTGAATTCTCTTGCCTGAATGAACTTTGTGTCCTCTGGATGGCAGGAGCCCAAGTAGTTGGGCTATCTTCCTCTGCTTTCCCAGGAGCATTAATAGGGAGTTAGATCAGAAGTGGTACAACTGGGACTCCAACCAGCATTACAACAAGGGGATGCTGGCGTCACAAGTAGAGGTTTAATCTGTGATGTCACAATGTAGACTATTTGAAAAAAGTGTAACTTTTAGAGTGTGATAAATGTCACCTTGAGAAGTAATTGTGGCACAGTGGTTAGACATTGCTTGGAATGCCCATATCTCACTGCCTGAGTTTAAGTTCTCACTCAACTTCCAATCCAGCTTCCAGTTAATGCACACTCTGGGAGGCAGCAGTGATAGTTCACATACTCAGCCTCCTGGTCCCCATCAGCCTCCTGGGTGACTCAGATGGAATTCTGGGCACCTGACTAGCCTAGTAGAAGCCTGGCTCATGTGAGTATTTGGGGACTGGACCAGCAGAAAGGAGAGTAAACTTTCTGTCTCTGTATGCCTTTCAAATAAATAAAAATAAATGTATAAAACTTTTTTAAAAATCATAAATTCTCATTCATTATGTGGATTATTTAATCTTTCTAAAATTCAGTTTCTTTATCAGAAAATGGAGATAATTCCATGTGTTAGGCTTGGGAGGATTAAATAAGATCCTTCATATATTAATATTTGCTAAAAGATTATGGTTACTCTTTTGTTATATGCATACAAACAAATACAAAATTAAATAACAGAGACCCAAATGAGAAGACATGAAAAATTCTTGGGAAAAAAGAATTAAATGGTAAGTCATTTAGGTGCAAAAATTTCTTAAAACCCATGCTTAGATCTTTTTTCATAATCCATATCTTCCATAAACTATTTTTAAGGAAACTTGTAGGTGCAAATACACCTGAAAAATAATAGTTGCAGGTAGCATTTACATTTACTAATATATACTAGATGATAATCTGATAGTTTTGCATTATTTAAACTCACTGACATGCTGATATTGCAACCATGAGATAGATATGCTTAATATCTTTATTTTATAAGGTACAAAAAACAGAGAAAAGTAAAGTTTAATAGCAAGTGAAGGTGAAAGATGAGAATTCTAAGCCATGCACTTAAGGTATCACAGAGATGCTATATCCTTGGCTGAATGGAATGAGAGGAACTGTAAAAGAATCCATTGTTCCAACTTCTCCTTCATCTCAAACTAAAGGGTTTTTCGAAGGCAAACACAAAATAAGGCAAGACATACACTAATCTGCTTCAATGCCAAATATGTTGTTGTTTTGTTATCTATATTCACTATTTACAATGTTAGCTTTATTGGACCTTAATTCATTGTCTATACTCAATGAGAAACAAAATATTACATAGTACATTATTTATGTTGTCACAAAAGAATCAAAATTATAGGCCATGCTTCCTTCACCTTCCCTAGCTATTACTTAGCATCCTTGCACCTCCCACCATGGCAGCCAATCACTGTAAAGGCTTTAACTGTCTCAGTGCTTGTAATGTGCACCATCAAATCCCTATCTTCTTCCCATGCCTCTTACTTTATAGAAAGTTTAATTATTGTAGCAGAACCTTCTTATTATCGCCCAATTTTGCTGCAATCTCTATAATTATAATTTATCCTTGCATCATTTCCCTAATGATAGGAATACATGAAATAATGTGGTGATCAAGAGAGAGAAAACCACAAATTTAGGTATTCAGGTCTCATCCTACCATAGCAGACTTTGAATGCCCTCTGTGAGTCACTCCCTCTCATTCTTTTCTCTTGGCATTCACCTTAACTTGGCTCCCTTTTACATTTCTAACTCACTTTCTATGGTAGGACTATTGCACCCAAAAATCTAAATCTAGGAAAACTCTTTTTCACTGTATAACTCAATAGGCTTGTGACCTTAAAAGTATCTAGATTTTGAAATTATTTATCTTAACAGCAATTAGAAATTTAGTAAATAGCTTGTGATGTAAAATAATAAATAATCCATGGAATAAAATGCAACTGTAAATTCTGTAGAAAATAAGCTGAAATGATCATGAGGATTAGAAATTAGGCAGGTCAGATAGAAGATGCCTAATTTACATTTTCCTAATTTATTTCTCATAAAGTATTTTATCCATTCAGAAGTAATATTTTCCCTTTATTTGTCTTCCCCTCTCTTTTTGCCTGTGCCAATATCACTGTGGCTTCAGCACACATTGTGTTCCCTAGTCTATATGCCTCGAATTCAATCCCCCTAATCTTGAGTAAACATCCAAAGCTGCCCTATGCCCTGATTCCAGACACATGTACTTACTAGTGTTGAACATAGATTTAAAACATCTACCTTGGGATGTTATTCACTTACAATTTACTGCTAAAATTTCATAATCAAGGTCAAACAGAATTTGTGAATCATTATTGTTTCTCTTCATTTTTGCAGATACACACAAATATGAATGACATAAAGTGCACTTGAATATTGGAAAAAGAGAAAATTATTTTGCTAGTTAACTCTGTTTATGACTGTATAAAAATGCTCATAGTTTAATAATATAGAGGAAAATTAAGTAATTAGAAAGGTTGTTTCCATAGACTTTTCTTTTATTGTAAGGTCTCCCAGCTTATTTCAAGGGCTTTCCCTTGAAATCTTCTTTAAGATTTGATGTCTGTGAAATATGATTCTGTTTTTAAATTTTGAAATTGTTTAGATAATCTCAAAAATATCACATTTGTTCTTTTTTCAAACCTATACTTAAATTCAAATCAAGTATCCCCATGTATTTTCAGAAGAGAATCTATTTATCTTGTTTCTCATTCTGATTTATTTATATGAACTTAGGGCTAAAAAATAGAAAAACGAAGATATTTTAGCTGGAAGATGCTGACACTTATAAATCAGTGACTTAGAGTGAGGAGACTGGTGATTACAGAGATTTTTGCAAAACTTCCTACTTAACTCTGGAGGAAGGAATACACTGGCAAATTCAGGTAGATATCATTTCTTTCCTAGGCATGACAAGTTATAACAGTGATAGCTTGTGGTGTATCTTGAACTCAGACATTTAGCTAGCTCTCTAACATAAAATATATAATAATCAATGACAAAGAAGTTAAAGATAATTAAGAAGAACTCTTATTTTGTATAATACCTCATATACATCTCACACTAAATGTTTACCACTCAGACTCAACTCAACTAAAATATTTGACATTATCTATTATTCTACATAATAGAGCTAGAGAATTCATTTCTCTAAGGAGACATACCTTAATGGAAATACCTGCTGGACCATAACAGGAAACTTACAAAGTGAAACAGGTCATTTTCAAATCTGCCTATGTGCAAATAATATTATAAAATGAAGTCTATATGGGTTAGTAAGAAAAAAAAATTGGCCGGCACCGCGGCTCAAAAGGCTAATCCTCTGCCTAGCGGCAATGGCACACCGGGTTCTAGTCCTGGTCGGGGCACCGGATTCTGTCCCGGTTGCCCTTCTTCCAGTCCAGCTCTCTCCTGTGGCCCGGGAGTGCAGTGGAGGATGGCCCAAGTGCTTAGGCCCTGCACCCACATGGAAGACCAGGAGAGGCAACTGGCTCCCGGCTTTGGATCAGCGTGGTGTGCCGGCTGCAGCGCGCCGGCCACAGCGGCCATTGGAGGGTGAACCAACGATAAAAGGAAGACCTTTCTCTCTGTCTCTCTCTCACACTGTCCACTCTGCCTGTCAAAAACAAAAAAAAAAAAAAAAAGAAAAAAAAATATAGACACCTATGGTTCACTATTGTTTCTTCTTGCTGTTGTTCATATAAAAAGCCAGGTACCCTGACATTGTGTAATCTATGTGAAAGCATATGCAGAATTGCAGCTATGCATCAGGTAGACATGTGGACTGAATCACTCAAAACATTGCTTTGATTTTAATAAGAAATTAAAAGGAAGTTTGATAATCAGACCAGCAAATAATAGTTAACAACCATTTTAAAGCTTTCCCATTCATGTACATATGAAAATGAAGATACTTCCACAAAAAATGGTCACTTGCACAATAATTAGAATAATTACATATATTACTTTAGAATTAATGGGATCTGGCTTAACTGAGAATTAGGTGTAAAATACTGTTAGGTGTGAGTTAACTAATAATACATGCATATTTAAATATAACTTGCTATATCTTTTTATTTATTTTTTTGACAGGCATAATTAGACAGTGAGAGAGAGAGACAGAGAGAAAGGTCTTCCTTTTGTTGGTTCACCCCCCAGATGGCCACTACGGCTGGCACTGCGCGGATCCGAAGCCAAGAGCCAGGTGCCTCCTCCTGGTCTCCCATGCGGTGCAGGGCCCAAGCACCTGGGCCATCCTCCACTGCCTTCCCAGGCCACAGCAGAGAGTTGGACAGGAAGAGGAGCAACCAGGACAGAATCCGGCACCCCGACAGGGACTAGAACCTGGGGTGCCGGCGCCACAGGCAGAGGATAAGCCAAGTGAGCCGCGGTGCTGGCCCGATTCACAGTTTCTTATATCATGCCATAAACTGACCAAAAAAATGCTCATAAAGAAAAAAAACCCATGAATTTTATAGAAAGAATTCTAACTTACAAAAATGCTGATTTTTTTTTACTATCAAATGAAAAACATCTTCTTACAATTTAATTAGATGACAATTTACTATTAAATAACATCTATATATAATTAACTGAGCTCCATTACCTTATAAATATCCAAAAATCCACACTGGTGGTCAAATCTGGTGTACAGTTCATTCAGCATGCTGATCACTTGCATGGGTGTACATTGGGCACATATGGCCGTGAAGCCAACAATATCAGAGAAGAGCATGGTGACGTCATCAAACTTTCTGGCCTGCACTTGCTGCCCTTGCCACAACTGCTGGGCTACATCTCCAGGAAAAATAGAATAAAGAAGATCCACTGTTTTCTTTTTCTCCTCTTCCAGGGCCTGGTGAGTTCTTTCTAGAGTTGCCTTTAATTTGTCCATCCTCTTCTTCAAGCCATCTTGAGCCTTTGCCTGCTCACCAACCAAAATGACATCTCGGGTGGCATCATGAATAGGAATGTCAGAGAGATGTAGTCCTCGGCCCATGAGTTCATCCAACTTGTCCACACATGGAGATCCCAAAAATAAAATGGAGCTTGACTCTGGGACATGGATCATTTGTCCTTTGACTTCCATCACCTGCAACATGAACATGGAGTTTTGGTCAGTATTCTTCAAATAGTAGATTCACAAAAATTGATGCATTGTGTGGTAACAGGAAGACAGGAAATGTTTTATTAGCTATGCTGACTTACTACATTGATGTAAGTATACTTAAATCTTATTTACAGCAGTGTAAACTTCATGTTTCAAAAAATATTTTTGCATCTCAGCCACTTTCTAAAGAAAATAGCAAAGTGGAAGAGCAATAAAACATTTTTTATTCAAGATGAAAGTATTCAAGGAAAACATTTCTTATTTAAGATGAAATTATTCTCAGGTATACCCTGAAACTGGTTTATGAGGCAAATTAAAAACTTTTAGCTTAATAATAATGGAATTAAGATAAATCTATCTGTCAAAATAACTACATTTACTTGTCATTTAAAAAAACTCCTTTCAGAAAATAATTCAAGAGATTGAAATGAGTCAAAATAATTCTTATGCCTCATGGAAGTCATTTTTCCACCAGATATAACCCTTGGATAATGCAATGTTTATTGCATTGAGTAGACTGGTGAATACTTAGTCAATTAATTGATTTCTTGCTTGATTTCAATCTTAAAAATGAAAATTTAAGCCACATATCATTAAGCTGGAAAGTAATTATCACTCACCCATCTAGCATATCACTACAATCTAAAAATAAATTTAAAAAACTTGAATAGTACAGAAGGAACTCAGCTAACAAGATAAACAATCCAACATTATTCATTTTAATCTATCCCTCTTAATGTGTCCTTTCTGTGAGAAATTTAGCAAATTGTTTAATGGAAAACTTAGTTTAACTTGCAAGTTTATGGTATGGTGAACATGTTCAGAGAGGATGAGCATCAGTAGGAAAGGAAGGCGGGCTTAGGATATGACCTTTCATATACAGTTATTTAGGCCAGCATAAGGTATTTCAGCACACCTGGAGGGAAAGCCAGTTGTTACTCCCAGGAAAGGACAAGCTAAGAGTTGGCCAACTGAGACTGCATTAGTTTCACCTGAATGGCTTTCCACTATCACATCAAATGTGCTCAATACATTTGTTTTCCTTTATTCTTTAGAGCATAAAGTTAGGCCAGCTGATGAAATTGGAGGCAGAGAGCAAATACGGGGCCAACCACAGGAATTTGGACGTTTAAGCCTGCAAGCATGTCTTTGTTCACAGTACCCCATTTGTTAATATAATTTTTATTTATTTGAAAGGCAGAAAGAGATCGGGAGGGAGACAGAAAGTAATATTTAATCTTCTGGCTCATTCTCCAAACATATCCAGGGCTGGGTCAGGTTGAAGCCAGGAACCGGAAATACAATCCAAATCTCCTACATGGGTGGCAGAAATCCAAGTACTTGAGCCATCACCTGCAGTTTCCCAGGGTGAAGGCTGCACATTATCAGAAAGCTGGAATTGGAAAGAGGGAGCTGGGACTTAAATCCAGGTATCATCACATGTGATGCTATGAGCGAAACATCAACCCCCAGCCTAAAACAATTACCATCAGGAAATAAAATTGAATCCTTGATTTATTTTATGGATTTTTTTGAAATAAAATAAATGCTTACTTTTTTATGTAAGTTTTCTGCTAAAGTTCAGTATTTCACCCTTTTATTTATAAGGCTTTATTTATAATTATTCACAGTTCAGTTATTCACTGATGTCATTGAGTGCTTTTTTTCTTTTTTTGGAAGAAAAGTGATTTATTTATTTACCTATTTGGAAGGCAGGGTGACAGAGACAAAGAGCTCTCTGCTGGTTCACTTCCCAAGTGGCCACAATAGCAGGTCTGGGCCAAGCCAAAGCCAGAAACCACTAAATCCATTCATGTCTTCCACATGGTTGGCAGAAACTCAAGTAATTGAGCCCATTATCTGCTGCCTCCCAGGGTGCATTAGCAGGAACACATATCAGAAGTAGAGTAGCCTATACTGGAACTGGCACTCTGGTATCAAATATGGTTTCCCAAGCTGTGACTTAACCCACTGTGCACAACACTCTCCCTTTTGAGAGCATTCCATCTACTACTAGCACTCTGGATAGTAAGACTAAACAGGTAAAACATGGCTGTCCTCTACAAAGACATCACAGCTTGGTGAGGAAACAAATATACATAGGATAGAGAACAGTGTGAAAAAGACACTGTCAATTCCCCACCTAATGTGGGCTCTCAAAGGCTGTAGGCCATGACTTCAGCATAAAGAAAATAATTGTCTTGTACAATATTTCCAGATTGTTCAACATGTACTTGGTATGCTATCTGATAAGGGATGTTGATAATGAGTTATACTCTCCCATTGTTAGGAAATCAAAGACAAAAATAAAAATGGATAGCAATGGAATGGAAAAGAATCTCCAGCAATTAACAAACACATCTACAACCAACTAACCTTTGACAAACGAGACAAAATTACTCCCTGGGGAAAGGATAGTCTCTCTTCAACAATTGGTGTTGTTAAAATTGGATCTCTACAAGCAGAAGTGTGAAACAAGACCCCTACCTTATGAAAAAATGAACTCACAATTGATCAAGGATCTAAATCTACAACCTGATATCCTCAAATTACTAGAGGAAAACATTGGAGAAACTCTGAAAGACATTAGCATAGACAGAGACTTCTTGGCTAAGACCCCAGAAGCAAATAAAAGCAAAAATAAACAAATGGGAATACATCAAGCAATAGAGATTCTGTGCAGCAAAGGAAACACTCAACAGAGTGAAGTTCGAGGCAAGTTATGCACATGATAAAAGATTAATATCCAGACTATATAAGGAGCTCAAGAAACTCAACAACAATAACACAATCCAGTTAAGCAATGGCCAAAGGACATGAACAAGCAGTTTTCAAAGGAGGAAATACAAATGTCTAACAGACAAATGAAAAAATGCTTGAGGATCACTAGTCATTAGGGAAATGCAAATAAAAGCCACAATGAAGTTTCACATTAGAATGGCTATCATCCAAAAATCAAAAGATAATAAATGCTGGTGAGGATGTAGAGAAAAACATACCCTAATACACTCCTGGTAGGAATGTTAACTAGTAAAATCATAATGGAAGGCAGTATTGGGATTCCTCAGAAATCAGAAAATAGATCTACCATATGAACTTGCCATCCCACTCTTGGGAATTTACCCAAACAAAATGAAATCAGCATATGAAGGAGTTATCTGTACTCCTCCCCATTTGTATCAACTCAACTCACAATAGCTAAGATAGGAAATCAACCCAGATATCCATCAACTGATGACTGGATAAAGAAAAAATGGTATATATACATGATAGAATACTACTAAACCATAAAAAATGAATAAAACTCTACTTTATGCAACAAAAGGAATGCAACTGGAGGCCATTATGATTAGTGAAATAAACAAATTCCAAAAAGACAAATATATACCTGGTATGTGATAGGTAATATAGAAGAGAAAAAAAGCACAAAAATGAAACTGACATCTTATAATTCGATTAATGTTTACTGCCCTTATCTACATACCTGCGGAACAGTGGTCTTTATAGTTTCTACTTGTTGAACATTACAGTTAGTGGTGCAGTAAGTCTATGATTATCAAATAAATTGAAAGTATGTTACTGCAAAAATTAAAGGAAAAAAGAAGGAGGGGGATTGAGAGAGGGCTGAAAATATGGTTATCTTAGAATTCTATCTATGAAATCTATTCTCTTTATATCTTTAAAAAGGGCATAGTAAGAAAGACATACTTATGTTACAATCCTACATTTAAAAGGACTACATGAAATGTGTTTCTTAAAATTCAATGTAAGAGAAAAAATTGTGGTAAGTTTTATAGAACTAATCATATTCTTAACTAGTAATAACATAACCTCTGATACTCATGGATTTATTTATTCTTTTATTTAGTCTCTCTTTCCTCGTACTTTCACAATTTCTTGCCAATTATCTTTTTCTTTTCCATCTTCCTTTCTTCTTCCTTCTTTGTTTTGTGAACTTAAACATTTTTCACATCTTCTCTTTGTTTTTATCTGTCCTTCTGCCTGTCCCTATATTTTTGTTTCAATATAATTATAAAAATCATAAATTCACCATGATTTGCACTTATTTAACAACAGGCAAAACTATTATAGAAATTATATCTTTATGTAGAGGAAACAGAATTCTCGAAGAGGATTAAAATGGAAACATCTTCCTACAATAGTATTTCATCCAAAATTATATTTAAATTGAAGTGAAATAGTACAAAAAGCATATGAAAGTAAACTGTCACAAAGTATATCAGATTTCAAAAATTGGCAAGCATAATACAAAAGAGTATTTGTTGTGAAGTATTATAGGTCATAATATCTGAAATCTTAGCCATCAGGCTCTATGTTTTTACTGTATTTATGAAAAGATATTTCTATGACAATAGTAACTATTATAATCAATAATTAAAAATTGAGTACATCTAAGTCATATAATTATATATTATATACGGCTATATTTCTGTGTATCCTGAACATGGGCCACAAGAAGTGAGAAGGGGCAGAGAGTATATACTCTCTCAAGAGTCTCTGGAGAAAGGGTTGTCCTCTTGACACTTTGACTTCATACTGTTGTCCTCTAGAATTATGAAGGAATCCAGTTACATTCTTTGAAAGTACCAAGTGTATAATAATTTTCTAAGCAATCAGCTACAGGAAACTAACACAAATTGGAACAAAATTTGCAAGTAGAATCTAATTGAAATATGACATTCTATCCAACAACAGTTGAATATACTTTAATAAAAGCTCATGGAACATATACCAAGATAGATTATATCCAAGACCATAAATATATTTTTTTTGACAGGCAGAGTGGATGGTGAGAGAGAGAGAGAGACAGAAAGGTCTCCCATTGGTTCACCCTCCAATGACCGCCGCAGTTGGTGCGCTGCGGCCAGCGCACTGCGCTGATCCGATGGCAGGAGCCAGGTACTTATCCTGGTCTCCCATGGGGTGCAGGGCCCAAGCACTTGGGCCATCCTCCACTGCAT